AAGACTCGCCCCTCTCAATTCATGGAGGATCATCGGTAATCCTCGTCTTGCTAAGCATAACGGTAAAACCGAGTTGGTTCAAGGGGTGAAGTCGGTATCCTTTTCCGAACACTAATAGATCGGGAAATGCAAGAGAAAGTGTCTAGGTGAGACACTGGAGGAACACTCATCCCCGGAGTCCTCGTTAACAAGGGACTCTTGCCATGACGGTGGTATGACTAATAAAACGGCCTAGGTGGAGAGGGTGATGGAGTAGGGATAAGCTTCTCATCAGTGAGGCCCTCCTCGCCCTCTACTGGACCGTCATCGTCCAACTCATCCTGTGCGTCCTCAATTATACCCTCATCATCGGACTCTACGACCTCCTATGGATCGTCTTCATCTTCATCTTCCGAAGGGCCTTCCTCTTCAACCTATGAAGGGTCTTCCTATTCGGCGGGGTCAGCCGGGGCATTTCTAGGGAAATATGGGTCTCCAACTAAGTGCATCGGGGCCTCGTGAAGATCCTGGAGATCTGTAGGGTCAATCCCGACTCGATGGTCATCGACCATCTGCTTCAAGGGGTTGGAAAATTTTTAAGTATGTTAGAGATGAGTTTTGGATGTATAAGTTTTTTAAAACTGTGTAAGTGTTTTAAAGTTGGCATAGGGATTCTAAGGTACTAAGTATCTACAACGAATATTGAGAACATCTTTCAATGTCTAAAACTCTCGACCATTGTAGTCTGTCAAACTCTTCGCTCAACGTTGGTTGTTCACCGGACCACCATAAATAACATAGGCGTATATTCCAGGTTTATTTATGGTATGACTTATGTACGATACTAACCTTAGTTTAGGCGTTTGAACTAAAGAGTTGAGTTGGTAGTTTTAGTTGAACGTATGTTAGAATTCTTATTAAGTGTTCTCATCATGGGTCAGAGTATATATATATATATATATATATATATATATATTATTGTTAGTGATGTTTGTAGTATTATTAGTTTTTGTTTTATACTCCAAGACTACCAAACACGGATGAGGGCCAGACAGGAAGCACCAAAGGGCAAGATTATTTTAGCAATTAAGCCATTTTGAAATCCAGCAACCTAAACAACCCTTCAAACCAGGTACCTCTCCTGTGAGTAGTCGAGAAGTAGTGTAATCATTACTAATACTTTTATTAGGAGCCTGAAGCTATAGTTGTGTTTTCTCTTTTGAGGATACGAGTTCTCTATAGTCAATTTAGCTCTGATACCAATTTGTAGCACCCCGACAGAGGCGACGTGACATGCTGCATTGTGCAACTTAGTTCATGGATCACAAGCAAATTGAATATACATCACAAGTACCACAATAACAACACATAAACTATATTCCACTTTAAAATTAGAATACATGGTTCATATAGATAATAATAATAAGTTCATGAATTTGCTTTAACATATAGACCGATATAACAAAAACTAGAGGAAACTAGATTGCCCGGAATCCATGACTATCTCTTCTCCTAAAAGTTGGTTCAGTAATCTCCTGAGAATACATGTAGTTTAAGAGTTAACACAAAGGTTGGTGAGAGTTACAGGTTTCCTGCTAGTAATAATGATACTTTTAAAAAGCTTGAAAAATATTTTTTTTGTAGTTAAAAACCATATTTGATAAAAAGAGAAACCGAATCCGTGGTTTCAAGATAAATAATCCATTAATGCTTATAGTGATTCCTATAACCGACCTATGAGACTAGATATAACCCCTTACGACGCTTCATTAGACGTTGTGGATATAAACTGAAGATAATTATCACCCGCTTCGATTGATCCGTCGAGGTTGTAGCTAGCAACCGCAGGTAGGGGTGTCAACTCGTATAGATCTATACATACGTATCTCGCTCCGAGGATTAACGGTTATCGCCGAGTGGGTATACTTAAGTGGTTAAAGTTAAGTAATGAACAATGTCTCACTATAAAGGCTATTAACTAAGGTATACTATAAAGTTTCACTATAAAAGTCGAGTAAGTTCGATATATCCGTAAAAACATAAATTACTCGCTTAAAATAAATAGTATATTTCTTAAGTGCATGAATAGATTCAAAGATATAAGTGTTATAATTTATCATATCCATTTAACATATGTATGAATCTAGGCATGATATAGGTAAAATAATGCAAAGTTGATAAACATTTGTAACAAATATTTCATTGACATACATTATTTCATAAAATCATAATATTCTTATGATATATAATTTATGACATGCTATAAAATCATGAAGTCCTATAATAAAATGATATGTTATCTTTTCTAGTGGTAACATTTATTAAACCACTATAACATGTGCATATCATGATAAACAAATCTATGATATAATACTTAGATAAAATATCGTTTATGTTAGATATGAATTTTTTAATGCATTTTTCATAATCATATACATGTTTCACAAGTATTCTCCCACAAAATAATAAAACATTAAAAAGGGGCCGTAAACACTCACTTTTGTAGTGTGAACTAGGTTCGTTCGTGTGAAACTTGTCGTGAGAAACCGCTATGTGTCGCTCTCTGCGTTTAAAATAAACCACAAATACTTTTGTTACCTAATTAACCAAAAGGGAGTTTTTGGTATTATTTAACAAGTGTGACGGTGGTTTTGTAAATTAATTAACCATAAAGACTGATTTGTAAAAATCAGTCAATAAGGGGATGATTTTGCAAACTTATTTCCAAAGGAGGGGCTGTTTTGATTAATCTAAATCAAAGTTTGAATGTTAGACTTATTTTGTAAACAAATATCCATGGAGGGTTGAAAGTGTTTATTTTAATTCAAAGTTTGGAGGAGGGGCTGGTTTGTAAAAAAATCACAAGTTAAGGGTTAGTTTTAATTAAGAATAAAATGAGTTTGAATAGTGTTCTCCTTCTTCTGGTTCATTCCCACACAAAAGAAAAAAAAAAAACGATATGGGTCTCGTTCTTGGCTGACTTACGAACAAAGGAAACAACGAAACTAAGGTGGAGATGGTGGATTCTTATAGTGGCAGCAGAAGGTGGTGGTTGGTCGAAATCTTCATGACAACAACAATGGTGGTGGTGATGGGTTGCTTGCGGTGGTAGCGTCCTGCTGCCTCCGTTTCTTTTTTTGTTTTTGCGAGAACGAGAGAGAGGGAAGGGAGGAGCTAGAGGTGGCATCTTGCTTGACAGAAAACAGGTGAAGAATGGTGGTGGAGCTCGACCAAAACAGTGGCTAAAGGAGGTGGGGCTACGGTGGTTTCTTGATGGTGAAGTGGTGGTTTTTGGTGGAGCTTTAAACCAAGAAAGAGAGAGATATTAAGTGAGAGCAAGAAAGTGAAGAGAACTGTCTTTTATAGTGAGAATGAGGATGCTAATGGTTCCATTTTATAACCAAGGAACACAAGCAAGAAGGTGGAGGGTGGTGATGTACGTGTGCATGGTCCAAGAGGAACAAAACAAAGATATAAGTTTCTTTCACCTTAATGTGCATGGTTCTTCTTGATTAAGGTAAAAGGCTTACCCGACATTCCTTCTGATATATGGGTTTTGACTTTCACAAAACTCTAAGTTTAAGTACATGAGAGAGAGAGAGAGATAGAGAAAGACATGAGAGAGGGCTGATAAATGGGGTACCACATGACCAATTTATAAGGCAGTAAATTGCCAGGTAACACTTGTGATATTAAAATGTCACAAAAATAGCTTTCGATTCGTGTATCCAATTCCCGGCATCTAATAATTTTTACGAAGGCGGCGAATGATGGATTTTAATTCAGGATTCAAAAAACCCGAACAAATTAATTTTTCGAGTTGTAGAACTCCAATAAATCGTGTTTAACGTTTCCGTCTAATTGGCATGAAAGTCTGATTTTTTGACTTTTACAAATATTTTTACTAAAAATATTCCGAGTGGTAAATCAAATATTAGACCGTAGTTTGAGTCCAAAAATGCTCTCGAAATTTCCATCTGATGTGTGCAAGTGCCTCAACGGATTAAAATGGTTTGTACAGCTCAGGTAAAATCAATGTTATACCGATTTGGTTTCTTATAACAGTCGGATATTTTGCATACGAACTCCGTTTTAGACGTTATTTATATTTTCGGACCCAGGTGGACATGAACTACGGGACTAGAGTGTTTGCTTCTCTCACAAACGCTTAATATGAAATTTTAGTTTTTCAGACGTATTAACTAGGGTTACAATTTGTGTTTGTGATTTGTTTGAGATTTCCCACAACAAAAAGTAAGATAGCATTTTATATCTTGTTGTAATTATAATGATACTATATATTTACCAAAATACGCATTAAAACTCAATAGGTTAAGTTACAAAGAGGTTCGTGACGAACTGACTGTTTACAGATTTAGACCTAAATTTCGGGATGTCACACAAAATAACCTAGAGTATGTGGGGAAGAACTACCCCATCTTCGCCCATCTAGTTCACTGGAAAGCTTTCATTGTCAGATAATTCATTAGGAGCTCAAAGACTCAGATGCAACCCTAATTCCAAAAATCGAAGCTCGATATCTGCTTGTTCAAAACTCCGATTCTAGATCTGCTTGTTCAAAAAACTCGAATTCCATATATGCTTGTTAAAAAAACAGAGCTCAAAGAGCCGCATGAAACCTTGTCGTCTCTTTCCATTTGAAACCTCGTTGTTTGCTTCTCCAAATTTGTGTTAGTTTTCTAGATCTGCTTGTTCTTTCATTTGGTGCATATAGTATTATGGTAGCTCTAATGTGTGGTTTGTTTTGTGGGTGTTTGCTTTTGGAGATTTGAAGTAGAAGAAATTTATGACTTTTGAATCTTCCGATCAATTTGTTTTGTGGATTTTTATTAATGAAAGAAAGGATCTGCATGAATTTTTTTTGGTGGTGCCGGCTAGAGAGCATGTAGTCATAATCTACAGGTGTAGTCGGAATCTGCAGGTATTACCGGAATATACAGGTGTGGCCGATAGTAGTGAGTGGTGTTCGATGGAAATTGTGTTGGTTGGCTAACGTAGCGATGGTGGCGGTCAATGGCTGGTGGTGGTGTTTAATTGTAATGGTTGTTGCAGGAGGTAGACAGTGGATCAGGTGGTGGTTGGCGGTCACTAGTGGTGGTTTCCGATGGTTGGTAGTTTTCAAATGGTGGTAGGTGATGACTGACATTGAGAGATGACGGTGATGGTGAGACTTATGTTTTTTAATATATTTTCTTTAATTAATAAAATAAATAAAATGAAAAAAAAAATGAATGGCATTATAGCCTTTTTTATATCTAATAGGGACAAAACGCAACAAACTCAAACAGTAAGAATGGTCATGTGAATGCAAAAGAAAAGATATAGACCATGAAATTCTTATAATTCTTATAAAAATTATTTCAGTAATTTGTTAAAAGAAAAAAAAACAACGCCTCTCCCCCTCCATGTCTCGCCAGTCGCTAGTCGATGCTCTTCGTATCGACCCATCATTCCTGTGGATTCCGCCCCTACCCTCCTTAGGGTTTTTCCTTCTAACGACCACAAGTTTTTTCAATTACTCTTAATTCTTCACCTACATCGCCCCAAATCCACCCTCGTCTTCATCTTTCTGTTTCACACAATATTCTTAGAACATATCTTCACAGTTCATCCCTCTCAATAGTTCTGCTTCAAGGTTTCTTTATTCACTTAGTACCTTACCATTAAAGGTATGAAATCTTTTTTCATATTCTTAATATTTGTATTGTCGATTCGTGTTTAAATCAGCTGTATTCTTATCAAGAATCCAATTATAAACCCTAAAAACCAAAATTTCTTCTTGATCGAAGTTCTGTTCCTGACTCGGCACATCCAGCGCCTCTCCGCTTACGAACGTCAACGGTGTTCCTGGTACTTCCATCTACCATCTACCATCTGCCTTCTCAGTCTCTTCTTATTATTGATTTCTAAGTACAATTTTGAAACCCTACCTCTGCCGCATTGGATCAGGGCATGATCATTAGAACTATAGTTTTTATGCAGCGATTTTAATACTTTTTTTTACTAATCTCTATTCATTTAAATTGATTATAAACAGATTTTCTTTCTATTGATTGGTGCTGTGTTTTAGCTTCGTCAAAACAGATCATGGAGGTTAGTTTAGAATGTGAACTGTTTATTCTTTAACAAAGCATAAATATTTCTTCTCAGTTATTAACTTATTTGATTTTCAAACTGTGACAAACAGAATATAATTGACATTGACAAGATAAAGGAGACATTGGAACCTGATAACAGCGGTGGCGGTGGATTACAATTGCCTGGGAAAGATAGGGTTGTCTTCAGAGCGCCTGAGAGGAAATCATTACTAGGATTGGATGCTCTCGCAAGTGCAAAACGAGCTGAAGGATCATTTAAAGTTCCTAAAGAAAAAATTTCTTCTATGATGACATCTCTTGATGAAGATGTGGAAAAAACCACATCCTCACTCACAGGTCTTGATGAAGTTGGTAGTGGTGTATCCAGCAGTGGTCGCAATTATACAAGCAGACAATATCGTGATTCCACTGGGAGCAAAACATCTGGTTCAGGTATTATTCCTGTGATACCTTTTTTACTTGTTCTAATGAACTTTTTACAAACACATCAACTTCTATCTAACTGTTATCAATGTTCCAGAAAGTCAAATCACTGAAGAAGAACGAGCTAGTGGCAGATCTGCTAGGCATGGTTCACACTCTGAGGTAAGTTTAGAGGATGCTACCTTCTTCTTTGGATGTTATATTAGATTGTTCAATGTTCATACATGACACATTTATCTTAACTTCATATTTGGATATTTTAGGATGTTACTCCTTCATCTAGAAGTTCCCGAAGCAGTCAACAGCGGAGTGATAGATATGATTCAACAGAGTATGATAGGCGTAGGTATGATAGCAGAGATGATTCAAGAAGGAGACATTACAGTAGTGATAGAGACGAGAGAAACCATGTGGATCAATCACCTCGTTATGGAAAAGACTACAGAGATTATGGGAATAAAAGAAGCAGATACGAAAGTTCAAGGCGGACACCTGGTATGCACCAACTTTTGTAATGACTATTTTATCAGTTCAATTTGCTCATTATTAAAAATGAATCATGTGTGTGTATTGTAGGTAGATCTGATTGGGATGATGGAAGATGGGAATGGGAAGATTCACCTCGGCATTCGAGTGGGAGTAGACATCATAAACCTTCACCATCACCAATGTTACTTGGTGCTTCACCTGATGCACGATTACCTTCTCCTTGGTATGGTGGCAATACTCCTATGGGTCGTGCTGATTCTCCATGGGACAATTTTGCCCCTTCTCCTGTTCCAATTAGGGCATCTGGATCAGTCAGATCTTCAACTTCAAGATCTGGTGGAAGATCTCAGCGACCACTCGCTGCAGAAAGTTCACTACCCTTAGAGGATGATGGAGAAGATGGAAAGGAAGTTTTTCATAATGCAGAGATAACTGAGAGTATGATGTTAGAGATGGAGTACAACTCTGATCGTGCATGGTATGATAGAGAAGAAGGGAACACTATGTTTGATGCTGACAGCTCATCGTTTTATCTTGGTGATGAAGCCTCTGTTCAGAAGAAAGAAGCAGAAGTGACAAAAAGACTGGTTCGTAAAGATGGAACCCCAATGACACTTGCTCAGAGCAAAAAGCTATCACAGCTTACTGCAGATAATGCTCAATGGGAGGATCGCCAGCTCATGAGATCTGGAGCTGTTAGAGGTACAGAGGTGCAAACAGAGTTTGATGATGAAGATGAACGCAAAGTTATTCTTCTTGTTCACGGTATGATTTTGACAACTTTTTTTTTATTCATTTAAGGATTTGTGTCTACTTTTTTCATGTTGTTATGTATTTATTTCAGATACAAAGCCTCCATTTTTGGATGGGAGAATTGTGTTTACTAAGCAAGCAGAACCGATAATGCCACTAAAGGATCCGACTTCTGATATGGCTATTATATCAAGAAAAGGTTCAAACCTTGTTAGAGAAGTTCATGAAAAACAAAGTATGAATAAGTCACGTCAGCGGTTTTGGGAACTTGCTGGCTCAAAGCTTGGTGATATTCTTGGAGTTGAGAAGACAGCAGAACAGATTGATGCTGATACAGCAGTTGTTGGTGAAGATGGTGAAGTTGATTTCAAGGAAGAAGCAAAGTTTGGCAAACACATGAAAAAAGGTGAAGCAGTAAGTGATTTTGCAAAGTCAAAATCACTTTCACAACAACGTCAGTATCTCCCCATATTTTCTGTTCGAGATGAGTTATTACAGGTACGTTTTTCTTTTTTCCTTCAAAACTTATAGCAAAAAAAAAAAAAAAACAATCTGTTGACATTGTTGTGACCCTTGTTTTAGGTGATACGGGAGAATCAAGTGGTGGTGGTTGTAGGTGAAACTGGTTCTGGAAAGACAACACAGTTGACTCAGGTACTTGACTACTTACTTTCCAATCACAAGTTTTATAATACTCATACATCTTATTTTGAAATTATTATATATATATATATACAGTATTTACATGAAGATGGGTATACCACAAATGGCATAGTTGGTTGCACCCAACCAAGACGTGTGGCAGCAATGAGTGTCGCCAAGAGAGTTGGTGAGGAGATGGAAACAGAACTCGGAGATTTGGTTGGATACGCCATCCGTTTTGAGGACGTGACCGGACCCAAAACTGTTATAAAGGTAAGTCAGATTCATGAGTAATCCGCTTACTAAATCGTCTTTTTCTTTTATAATTTTTTAAATAAAGATATTTATGTTCATCTGTTTGCAGTACATGACTGATGGTGTTCTGCTTCGTGAAACATTGAAAGATGCAGATCTTGACAAATATCGGTAGGCATACTCTTTTACAATAATACTTTATATCTAATCTAATGTGTTTTATATGATGATAGAAACATCTAATTTTCTGTATACAATATTGCAGTGTCATTGTCATGGATGAAGCCCATGAAAGATCATTAAACACGGATGTACTCTTCGGGATCCTCAAGAAAGTTGTTGCCAGGCGTCGAGATTTCAAGCTCATAGTCACCTCTGCTACCCTCAACGCACAGAAATTTTCCAACTTTTTTGGCAGGTAAACTTTTCAAAATGTTTGATCCTGTGAAGTTAATTAAGTGAAATGACCATAATGACCCTAGTATTAACTTTATAATAATTATGTTTCATTTTGCAGTGTCCCAATCTTCCACATTCCCGGGAGAACATTTCCGGTGCAGACCTTGTACAGTAAAACACCATGTGAAGATTACGTGGAAGCCGCTGTAAAACAAGCAATGACGATCCACATCACGAGTGCTCCTGGTGACATACTCATCTTCATGACAGGTCAAGACGAGATCGAGGCAACATGTTACGCCCTATCAGAACGTATGGAACAGCTTGCATCCACCACAAGGCAAACAGTCTCCAGCTTATTAATCCTACCTATCTACTCCCAACTCCCCGCTGACCTACAAGCAAAAATCTTCCAGAAAGCCGAAGAGGGGGCCCGCAAATGCATCGTGGCCACCAACATTGCGGAAACCTCTTTGACCGTAGACGGAATCTTTTACGTTATCGACACTGGGTATGGGAAAATGAAGGTGTATAATCCGCGTATGGGTATGGATGCTCTACAGGTGTTCCCGGTCAGCCGGGCAGCCGCCGACCAGCGGGCAGGTCGGGCGGGTAGGACCGGGCCGGGCACTTGTTATCGTCTTTATACCGAGACCGCGTACCAAAACGAAATGCTCCCACAACCCGTTCCAGAAATTCAGAGGACTAACCTCGGAAACGTCGTTTTGCTTCTGAAATCTCTTAAAATTGAAAACTTATTGGATTTTGACTTCATGGATCCGCCTCCACAAGATAATATCTTGAATTCGATGTATCAGCTCTGGGTTTTGGGCGCGTTAAACAATGTCGGGGGTCTAACGGATCTCGGGTGGAAAATGGTTGAATTCCCGCTCGATCCACCGTTAGCCAAAATGCTTTTAGTTGGGGAACAACTGAAATGTTTAGACGAAGTGTTGACAATCGTATCCATGCTCTCGGTCCCATCTGTATTTTTCCGACCGAAAGACCGGGCAGAAGAAAGCGATGCTGCCCGAGAAAAATTCTTCGTGCCCGAATCCGACCACTTAACGTTACTCAACGTCTACAAACAATGGAAAGCCAAGGATTATCGCGGAGACTGGTGCAACGATCACTTCCTCCAAGTCAAAGGTCTCCGAAAGGCTCGAGAGGTCAGATCTCAACTGCTAGACATTCTAAAAACACTCAAAATCCCGCTCACATCATGCGATCCGGATTGGGATATTGTAAGAAAAGCGATATGTTCGGCTTACTTTCATAATGCTGCGAGGTTGAAAGGAGTTGGAGAATATGTCAACTGTAGAAACGGGATGCCATGTCATTTGCATCCGAGTAGTGCCTTGTATGGATTGGGGTATACGCCGGATTATGTGGTGTATCATGAGCTGATTTTGACTTCAAAAGAGTACATGCAGTGTGCCACGTCAGTTGAGCCCCAGTGGCTGGCGGAAATGGGGCCCATGTTTTTCTCAGTTAAGGATTCGGATACGTCCATGTTGGAGCATAAAAAGAAGCAGAAAGAGGAGAAATCGGCTATGGAAGAAGAGATGGAGAGTTTGAGGAAAAGGCAAGCCGAAGATGAGATTAGGAATAAGGCCAGGGAGAGAGCCAAGAGGATGAAACAGCAACAGGCAATCTCCATGCCTGGCTTGAAGCAAGGGAGTTCTACTTATTTGAGACCTAAAAGATTGGGTTTGTGAAATTCTGGAAATGCCCTCTTTCAAGTATTTTTTTTTTATTTTTTTTTTTTTTTTTTTTACACTTGAACTTGGTTGTTGTCGTTTGTGCATTACGGTTGTACAATACAAATTGGGATGGAAGCTTAAGAAATTTGTCATGAGTAAATACTTTTTAGAGTTTGATGAAATACTTGAAATCTTTTAAAAGATTTTTATTCTTCAAATGTGAAGACATTCTAATGTGTATTTTTTTTAATCCTTTAACTCTTATGAACTATTTCTAGTTGTCCCAAAATTATTGTCATTGCTAAAAGTAAATGTGCAGTTTTACAATTTTACCCTTTATTTGAGTATCTATCATATCTTTAATATTCTAATTAAGGGGAAGGAAAATAAGAGTAAATTAAAATATGTACTCCATCTTAAAAAACGACTATTTAAAACATAAAAAACATATTAAACATGACAATTATGCTAGCGGCTTTTTGGTAGGTCTCTTAATGAAACCATTAAGAGGCCAACTCTTAATGATTCAACATTAAGAGTGTTTGGTAGACACCTTTGTACCTCTGATTCGGTCATGAATCAGAGCCACTGTCACCGTCATAGGTATCCTTGTCATTGTTCATGTTATTCTCGTCATTGTTCATGTTATTCTTAAAGTCTTGATTGATTGATTTGTTGGTACGAATTATACTTCCTATCACTTGATTGTGCCACTAATTATGTGCCAAGTGTGAAGTTAGGGTTCATGTTACGTTTTATTGCTGAATTCATACAAGCATTTATCTTATTCTTAGCAATCTCTTATTAATTGTGACATTATCTCAAGACATCAGATGAATTTGCATTTAGGATAAACAATCTGTATTTCGATCTAATTCAATTTTTTTTTTGTGCATATCGATTGAGAAGTTGCAATTAGTAGTCATTTGTAACATTTATTTTCATGACATGTATTATTACGTGAAATGTTGTTGGATACATTGCCAAAGAGAATAGATTGATATAAATGATGATGTTTCGATGATGCAATACATATGTCATTATACTTGTTGCATTATATCAGAAAATGAGTAAAGTTTAACTAGGAGATTATGAAAGAAAGTAATAGTTTACTTTGAGACAATTATGTCGATAGAAAGATCGTCAAAATCAGAGTTCGTATGAGAAAATTATGACCGTTCGAAGTAGAGATAAAAGTACGTAGCTATTCCGAGGAAGTTAATGAAAGTCAAAGTTAAACAGTTAAATTTCGGCGCTACACGACGCGTAGATCTGGTTACGCGGCGTGGGGATGAAGTGAGTCACGAGGGCACGTGTCAGTAATGAGTTCAAGAGGAGAGGCAATGAGAGCTTTCCTTGTGAGCTGCCGAGGGTCATTATACGACTTAAAAAGCTTGAGTTCAACCATTTCTAAGTAATACAACATTACTTTTATTGAGAATATTTTAAAAGTTTTTTGAAACCGGGTACCCGGTATTGGAACCGGTTTCTACCGGTTCCAGGACCGGTTCCAAAGTCTAAAGAACCGATGTAGGCGGTTCCGGTTCCGTATCTAATATTTTAGGAACCGGGGGTTCTGGTTCTGGTTCCAAGCAATTTGGCAGGGTACCCGCTTTCGCTCACCCCTAGTCTTAACCCTAAAAACTATGGTTTGGTTTCAGCAGCTGTACGCCCAGTGTACGCATTGGATGCCCTGCGTACTACATTGGATGCCCTGATATCACTGTTTCTTTTTATTCTTCGATTTTTTTTACAAAGTTTGTGCAATACAACTAAAACCTATTGGGCTTGTTGGGTTTTAGTAGCATCAATACACTATCTAAAGGTAGCAGAAACAATAAAAAGATTTACCTATATGCACATGCACCCTAGATCTAGGTTTTACTAGTTATAGAAACAAACTTTAAAAACAACAAGAAAGAAACTACTAACCTATGGATTGTTTAACTGTGATCTCATATGTGCCAGATCGATGTAATGGATGAAGGATCCAAAGTAGAACTGCTCTAATGAAGTTATATCCATAACACCAAAAGCAAAAGGAAGAAACCCTATTTTTAGGGTTTAGTCGAAGTTCTCTAACCCTAAAACATAGGTTAAGAATTTCGTCCACTAAAAAATAGGGAGAGATTTTACATGATTTTTAGTTAGGAATCAACAACTCTAGGGTTTATCCCTAGCAGTCTATTTATATGATGTAGATAGAAACCTAAAAGGATTCAAACTCTAGGGTTAATCCTTATGTGATTCAAACCTGCCATATCCTTATCAAGGAATCTTCCAAAACTGTCCACTCCTAGGTCTCAAGGAGCTTCTAGAATATTCCAATTAATCTCTTGGATTAATTAATTTTCAAGCTCTTTAACTAATTAAAACCTTTTAATTAATTATCAGAATAATTTCTAATTAATTTATTAATTCCTTAATAAATTAACAACTTATTTATCTCAATTTCCTAATTCTATTTGGGTCATGAGGCCAACCCAAAGGAAACTATCATATTTATCTTATATACCCTTCGATAACCCACTGTATTATTGTGTGGAGGCAGGGGTACAATGGTATAAGTATTATTATCTTTCATAGCATCCAACTTCATATTTCATGGCATGACATCATTCTTAATGTTTTGATTATTCTTTGTAGTGTTTGGGTTTCAAAACGAGAAGAAATATTCATTGCAAAGAGGCGGTGTTTTTTGGAAATATTGTCATAAGATAGGAATTTATCTAAGTAATATGGGGTTTTAGAAGAAGAATTATGAACAACATTGCAATGATAATTACGAAGGATGATGATAAGATCTAATAGGCCTGCCAATAGGAGGCAGTGGAACATGATTATCATGGTGAGGAGCAGAAGCATTTACGGACAAAAATGAAGCAAAGGTATTTATGGAAATGTCTTCATTTTATGGAACATGTAGAACAATAAGAGAAAATGGATCAATGGAATCTGAAATAGAGTTGTTATGAAATGGGAATATCATTTCATGAAAAACTATATCTCTAGAATCAAAAATTTGTTTAGTTTGAATATCAAAGAGTTTATAAGCTTTCATGTAAGGATGATATCCCCGAAACAAACAAGCTCTTGCTCTTGGATTAAATTTGTTCTATTACCAGTCAGTGTGGAAGCATAAGCCAAATAACCAAATGTTCTTAAATGATTGCAATATGGTATTGAACCATAAAAACTAGGGTTCATGAGCAGCGGAATTGGGTACCCTCTTTCGAAACCAGAACCGACTCAAAACGACCGGTTAAGGTTCTTATTTTTATGGAATCGCTACCCGATGGGTACCTGCTGATATATATATATATATATATATATATATATATATATATATATATATATATATATATATATATATATATATATCACAATCACATAATTTATATAATATCTTGAATAACATCATTTAAAATTCTAGAATTTTGACTAATTTGTTTTGAACATTTAAATGTCTATGCATGATTTTCACTTTGAATTTAAACTATCGAGATTCAAAATGAATTTGTAGACAGTAGACGTAATGTACTATTATGTTCAAGTTATATTTAACTCATAGAAATATTCATTTAGCTATGGACTTTAATTTGTTTGAATTTTTTTAGAACAAAAGTATGAGTTTAAGATACATGAAATCAGTGGAGTTTATTTATAGGTTATAAGAAACCTGCACACATTTTTTCGTCATGTTATTCAAGCTAGTTATATTTTCTAATCCTTATTTTTAATACATGGCGAATCATGTATTGATGTCATCAATAACTTTCTTGTAAGTTTACAACAAATATACTTGTATAAGCTTTAAAAATTCAACAAATTTAATGAACCGGGTACCCGATATTGGAACTGCTACCCGCCGATTCCAGTTCCATTTCCAACATTTTTGGAACCGCCGGTTCCGGTTACGGGTTCAGATAATTAGGGTAGGTATCCGCCTACGCTCATCCATAATAAAAACTATTTCAATAAGTTTGGATGTAATCCTATTAATCAGGTAAGCAGATGTGAGTATGCAATCTCCCCAAAATAAGATTGGAACTTTGGATTGAAATAATAAAGATCTGGACACATTAAAAAGATGTTATGTTTCCTTTCAACCATTGAATTCTGTTGTGGTTTACCAACATGTGACTTCTAATGGATAATCTCTCTATAAAAAAATTACTTGAAATCCAACTCTTTGATGTGATCTAAAGGATTTAATAGACTTGTTGAATCGATTTTGAACATAAGTATGAAATTTTGGTATAATGCCCTATATTTTAGACTTGTGTTTTAATAAATAAATCCAAATATATTTTCTCGATTTTGAACATAAGTATGAAATTTTGGTATAATGCCCTATATTTTAGACTTGTGTTTTAATAAATAAATCCAAATATATTTTCTCTTATCATCAACAATCACTACAAGAAAAGTCTTTATTAATCATCAATTTTTTAGTGACGATCTAAAATTTTAGTCACCATATAATAAGTCACAAATTTTGGTAATATTATAAATTTAGTGACCAATTCGATGACAGTTGTCACTCATCGGTCACTAAATAATAAAATAAAAATAAAATAATATTTTTAATATCACAACAAATATTAGTGACTAAAAATAATAGCCACTAACCTAATGACAAAAAATAAACTGCTGTTAAAAGACTTAGAGATCAAAAAAAGTGGTCACTTGATCGCTTTATGTGGACACGTAAACATCCTCTCTTTAGTATGCAATGATTACTAAAAGTATAAATTATAATAGTGAAGGGGCCAATTGTGCCATTTGATAAAGGCCCATAAAAATAATATCCTCCTTTTAAACGTCTCACTAGTCACTCTCATCATCAAAACCGCTCGTTTTTAAACTCTCTCTTTCCCCCCTCTCTCGCTCATACACACACGAACGACAAGCACATTTTTCCGGCAAAAATGCCAACAACAATCGCCGTTCTGATTCTATGCATCTTTGCGGTAGCGATGTACCCATGATTCGTCGAGTCAGTGATACTGAACATGGCAGATTGCCTGTCGTACGTGACGATCGGAAGCACGGTGAAGAAGCCGAAGGAACATGTTGCTCGGGGATTAAATCGGTGTTGAGAACAGACGCACATTATTTGTGTGAAGCGTTCAAAAACAGTGCACAATTGGGCACATCGCTGAATGCCACCAAAGCCCTAGCTTTGCCTGCTGCTTGCGATATTAACGCTCCATCTGTTACTAACTGTGGAATTAAGCCTATCTAGTATCTCCGTTCGTCTCTCGTTAATCACTTTCTTTCTTCAGGTCTGCACAGTATGAACATCTTGTCTTAATTTGTTTAAATCAAATTTCAATTTTGTCTTAGTGAATTGCCTGCTTGATTAACATGAAAAATCAAATGTGTTTTGTGTCGTTAGTACTAATTCACCCCATAAACTGAGGTTCCATGGCTTGTCTTAGAAGTGATTTTCGAATTCCTGTTTAAGTGAATTCATAAATCTAGCTCCATTTATGAAACTAGGGCTTTTAGCTACTTCTGCAATAGCAAACATGCTAGATCCGGCTTACCAAGGTTTTCTGTCATCAATGCAAGTGATGTAGCTCTATATTTGTAGCAAGTCGAAAATTATAGTCTGTGTTCTAGACTGAAATTGAGTAGTTGACATCTGTAAAAAAATGTTTTCTCTTGATCACAATTTAAAAGTATAATTAAAGCAAAAGTGTTGTGTTAATTTTGTGAAAGATGTTCTTAACTCTGTTTTTGGTAAGTGTTAGGTTTAACATAAAAAGTCAAAATCCAGCCTATCTATTAATGGGAAGCATGCTCTTTTTCTTAGGCTATAATTGTATCACTCATTTTGGTTGCCAATATGCTACTTACATATAATCTCAAGATGGAAAGAACAATTTCTCATAATCTTTCACGAATAGATATCAATGAATTGGTTAATAATATTATCTTAACTGGTTGTGAGGAGATTAGACCATAGTTACCAGAAACGCCCAACTAGTGGCGTCCCACGTACCGAAACGCCCTGTACCCAATCGATTAGAAATCGGTCCGGTACGTGATATATGAACGTACTTCGAATTGGATACAGTCGACCCCAATCGCGATCCCAATCGAACCTAATAGCGATCCCAATCGAACCTAATAACGTTCCTGGAGTCTAAATCGATCGTACCTGGAGTCAAAATCGAGCGTCCCTGAAGTCAAAATAGAGCTTACCTGAAGTCGATTTTGTTGCTTTCGATCGGATTTTATGCGTCGTCTGACATGGCGATTTGGGCGGGAGATAAGCCGCGTTTCACAGTGGCTGTTCGATTTCTCTAATCGTCGACTCACCTTGAAACGATGGATCGATGCTTAGTCTTCTCAATGTTAATTTCACACTGTAATTTGCAAATCTTTGAGATCAGTATATATAGACCTTGTAATCTTGTATCGGACATTCGGACATCCAAAATCAAACTCAATTTCCATTTCAGCTTTTTGTCTTCAATTTCGATTTCAGCTATTTCTAATTTTCTAGTTTCCACTTTCCACTACAAATTGTATATCCGATTGTGAAGAATGGCATTTGGAAGAAAAAAAAATTCAGAGTCTCAGCCAACTCATTCCGACAGTGAAACAGAAGGCACTCACATTAGTGAGACCCAAGATCAAACAACAATCTATGTTGATGATGAGGTTCAACAAACAGCCCCAAAAAGCAATGTTGAAAAGATCCAAGAAAACCACTCCATGAAGAAGTTACATATGAAGAAGTTTGAAGAAACAACAAGAATAGTGGAGGTTCTAAACGTTGGACCTGTAACCACTGTAAAGGAAAATATACCAGCTCTTATACTAGAATCCATGTTCACTTTTTTGGACCTCCTGTGGGGAAAACAGCTGAGATCAAAAGGTGTCCGGTTCTTGTTAAAAGTAACCCGTATTATGACATTCTATATAATAGGGTGAAAGAAGTGGAAAATAATGGTGTTGCTGCCAAATCATTGAAGAATTCGTTGCTCTCAAAAAACTCAGTTTCAAAAAGAAGGATTGAAAATGCATTTAAGATGCTCGAGAGAGAGGAGGTTGACACGAAGATACTTCGAGGCTTGTGTGCTAATGGGATTCCGTTTAATGTATTACGGAACCCACAATTCCTTGAAATGATTCAAGCTATTAAGAAAGCACCGGAAGGTTACAAGCCACCTTCATATGAAAAAGCTAGAACTTCGTTGCTTGATCAATGTGTGAGAGAAGTGGGCAAAGAACTTGATCCAGTCAAAGACACGTGGTTAACACAAGGAGTATCCGTTATCTCGGATGGTTGGTCTAATGTAAAAAGTGAACCGCTTATAAATGTTATTGCACAAAATTCACGTGGTGCAACTTTTATGTACGCGGAGGCCTTTTCGGGGATTGAGAAGACGGGGGTGGAGATTGCTAAGTTTCTTTGACAAGCTATTGAGGAGATTGGTCCAAGTAGTGTTATTCAAGTTGTAACCGATAACGCGGCGAATTGCAAGGCGGCTGGACGGGAAATACAAAAGGTATATAAACATATTTTCTGGTCCCCTTGTTGTGTACATTCTTTAAATTTGATTTTTAAAGACACGACGAAGCAATTTGACTGGCTGTCCGATACATATAACAGAGGGAAGGGTATTATCACGTTCTTTTTAAACCACACACACCCCTTAGCTTTCTTTAGAGACAACTCGAAATTGCAATTGCTGAAGGTTGCACAAACACGATTTGCATCGCATTACATATTGTTGAAAAGACTAACCGAGTGTAGGGAATCACTTGCTACTACTATTGTCGTAAACTCGTGGCGGGAATGGGTCAACAAGGCGGATGAGCACACTCGGGTACTTGCCAATAAAGTGGCAGATACAATTAAAGATGAAGATTTTTGGGATTATATTGTTTACATTTTGGCTGTCACAAAACCTATCTTTTACATGGTAAAGTTTTGTGATGGTGAAGGTCCGAAAATGACAGAAATATATGAACGAATGGACAATATGATGGGTCAAATCAAAGAGGCTATGACTATGAGGGACAATAGATTCTCAATGTATTACAATAAAGTTGAAGAAATTGTGCTCGAAAGGTGGGACAAGATGACTATCCCCCTCCATTGTTTAGGATTTGCTTTAAAGACTAACTGAGTGTAATACATCGAAAGGGATAGTCATCTTGTCCCACCTTTCGAGCACAATTTCTTCAACTTTATTGTAATACATTGAGAATCTATTGTCCCTCATAGTCATAACCTCTTTGATTTGACCCATCATATTGTCCATTCGTTCATATATTTCTGCCATTTTCGGACCTTCACTATCACAAAACTTTACCATGTAAAAGATAGGTTTTGTGACAGCCAAAATGTGAACAATATCATCCCAAATATCTTCATCTTTAATTGTATCTGCCACTTTATTAGCAAGTACCCGAGTGTGCTCATCCGCCTTGTTGACCCATTCCCGCCACGAGTTTACGACAATAGTAGTAGCAAGTGCTTCCCTACACTCGGTTAGTCTTTTCAACAATATGTAATGCGATGCAAATCGTGTTTGTGCAACCTTCAGCAATTGCAATTTCGAGTTGTCTCTAAAGAAAGCTAAGGCGTGTGTGTGGTTTAAAAAAAACGTGACAATACCCTTCCCTCTGTTATATGTATCGGACAACCACTCAAATTGCTTCGCCATGTATTTAAAAATCAAATTTAAAGAACGTAGACAACAAGGGGACCAGAAAATATGTTTATATACCTTCTGTATTTCCCGTCCAGACGCCTTGCAATTCGCCGCGTTATCGGTTATAACTTGAATAACACTACTTGGACCAATCTCCTCAATAGCTTGTTGAAGAAACTTAGCAATCTCCACGCCCGTCTTCTCAATCCCCGAAAAGGCCTCCGCGTACATAAAAGTTGCACCACGTGAATGTTGTGCAATAACATTTATAAGCGGTTCACTTTTTACATTAGACCAACGATTTGAGATAACGGATACTCCTTGTGTTAACCACATGTCTTTGACCGGATCAAGTTCTTTGCCCACTTCTCTCACACATTGATTAAGCAACGAAGTTCTAGCTTTTTCATATGAAGGTGGCTTGTAACCTTCCGGTGCTTTCTTAATAGCTTGAATCATTTCAAGGAATTGTGGGTTCCGTAACACATTAAACGGAATCCCATTAGCACACAAGCCTCGAAGTATCTTCATGTCAACCTCCTCTCTCTCGAGCATCTTCAATCCTTCTTTTTGAAGCTGAGTTTTTTGAGAGCAACGAATTCTTCAATGATTTGGCAGCAACACCATTATTTTCCGCTTCTTTCACCCTATTATATAGAATGTCATAATACGGGTTACTTTTAACAAGAACCAGACACCTTTTGATCTCAGCTGTTTTCCCCACTGGAGGTCCAAAAAAGTGAACATGGATTCTAGTATAAGAGCTGGTATATTTGCCTTTACAGTGGTTACAGGTCCAACGTTTAGAACCTCCACTATTCTTGTTGTTTCCTGAAACTTCTTCATACGAAACTTCTTCATGGAGTGGTTTTCTTGGATCTTTCTCAATGTTGCTTTTTGGGGCTGTTTGTTGAACCTCATCATCAACATAGATTGTTGTTTGATCTTGGGTCTCACTAATGTGAGTGCCTTCTGTTTCACTGTCGGAATGAGTTGGCTGAGACTCTGAATTTTTTTTTTCTTCCAAATGCCATTCTTCACAATCGGATACACAATTTGTAGTGGAAACTAGAAAATTAGGGTTTAGAAATAGCTGAAATCGAAATTGAAGACAGAAAGCTGAAATGGAAATTGAGTTTGATTTTGGATGTCCGAATGTCCGATACAAGATTACAAGGTCTATATATACTCATCTCAAAGATTTGCAAATTACAGTGTGAAATTAACATTGAGAAGACTAAGCACCGATCCATCGTATCTAGGTGAGTCGACGATTGGAGAAATCGAACAGCCATTGTGAAATGCGGCTTATCTCCCGCCCAAATCGCCATGTCAGACAACGCATAAAATCCGATCGGAAGCAACAAAATCGACTTCAGGTAAGCTCTATTTTGACTTCAGGGACGCTCGATTTTGACTCCAGGTACGATCGATTTAGACTCCAGGAACGTTATTAGGTTCGATTGGGATATTGATTAAGTTAATCATTTTGAGAGAGTCCCAGAGTTAATTTTCTTTTGTTTTGATATGTTGTCTGTTATTCATATTGTTAGGTTTTATAATATTGTTA